TAGAAAAAAAAAAAAAAAGAACAAAATAAGAATAATTACTTCCTTTCAAATTTTGTTCTCTTAAATGGTTCTGCCAGCTCCAAGAGGTGACACCTGAAGCAGTTCATATTGTGGAGGTTGGGCCCTTCCCCAGGAAATAGTTAAGAGGTTCCCAAAAGTGTTTGTATCCACTGATGCCCTCTGCAAGCCAAGTTTAATTCCACCCACTAATGCTGGATGGCATTTATCACCAGTGCTGGGATTAAGGGGTTTACCATGCATACCAGCTCTGACCTGAGCTCCCCCTACACACTCTCAACTGGCATTTGTTTTTCAGGTTAGATGATGATTGACTTTCAGGATATGCAAGCATGATGTTGTCATCACCTTAACTCTTAACTGTCAGTGAATATAAAAGAGATTGGCACTTTTTCAAGACTGTAAAATATGTCACTGTCTTTTTCCAGTTACATTGTCATCCATTAAGTGAGTCTGTCACTTGAAAGGTGAGAGTTACTGGTGTGGAGTTTTACATTATGGAAATTAGCTAACAAAATATTAATCTAAAATCAACAACTGAGGAAAACATTTTTTGCAAGACATACTTTCAGAGGTTTTATCTTCTTGATAAGGCTGGAAGAACTCAAAATTATTCTAGAAATAGCTTTTTAGTCCATTTCTCCTGGTGTCTCATACTTCTGGCTGAGACATTTGGCTGTTAGAAGTCCAGTTCAGCCATGGTGTGAATTAATGCAAGCCTTGGCATCAATCCCTGACACACAGGACTAGCTGTTTCCTGGAATGGAAGCAGCCCAAACATTACAGGCATCTTCCTGCCTTTGAAAGGCACCAGCAAAGCTGGCCAAAACAGCATTCATGCTCTTACTGCAGCTGCAAACAACTCTCCTCAGAGGACTCAGTGCCTGTATACAGGCCTGTAAACTTCATCCCTTCCTGCTCTTCTGTGGGCACCCAGGTGTGTTAACTACAAACATTCCTCGGTAAAAAGAGATGCTTTCAGTTGATCAGTTTGTATGGTATTCTTGGGCATGTCTCTGAAGGCCTGATGTGAGACAAGGGAGCAGTGTTGGAAGACCTGCAAGGAGGATTTTGCATTAAATGTTTTTAGAAATGGCTACAGCGTGATTAGAAGAAAGGGGTACCCAGTTTCAGGTTTGTTTTGTATTTCAGTTTGGAATTGTGGAGGTATTAGCCGTTACTACTGACAGCTTAATGCAATGCCTGGGGAAGTCAATTAAAAAATTCCTGCCTTACTTCACTTTGGCTGTAGGATCTTTGTGCATACATATGCTGAACAGAAGTGCCTGGTTAAAGCTGAGCCACCTGGTTGGTTTTAGTTCTTGTAACATCATCCAGTGTACCAGTACCTTGAAAGTACCACCGAACAGTAAAGTGCTGTTGAAGGAGCTGAAGAATGGCATGCTACCTGCACAAATATTGGGAACCTCTCTCTAAGACGCTAATCAGGAAATGCTAAGAAGATTTTGTTGGTTTTTTGTTTTTCAAAGATGATTCTAAGAACTTCTTAAACTTGTTTGTAAGAGAGTACATCTGTTTTCCTGCCAGGTTGTTCAGCAATGAAAAGAAGGCACATAAATAAGTTATGCTCAAAGTGGTATTGTCTTACAGCTGTATACATCTGTGGTGGGTTGGTCCTGACTGAAGACCAGATGCCCACCAAAACAACTCAGTCAATCCCCTCCTCTGATGGTCAGGAAGAGAGAGAAAAGTCTGGTGTGTTGAGATAAGGACAGGGAGAGATCACTCACCAGTTACTGTCACAGGCAAAACAGACTCAAGAGAGATTAATTTACTGCCAATCAGATCAAAGTGGAATGACAAGGAAATAACCCCCAAATCTTTAAACACCTTCCCTCTCCCCTCCCTTCTTCCCAGGCCAAAGATTACTACTGAATTCCTTGTCTCCTCCCCACCAGTGGCGCAGGAGGACTGGAATGAGGGTTGTAGTTATTCCATTAAGTTGCTTCCGCTGCTTCTCCTTCTTACGTCTCCTGCTTACCTTGCTCCAGCATGGGATCTGTCCCATGGGAGACAGTCTCCATAAATTCTCCACCATTAATCCCTCCAGTAGGCTGCAGTTCTTCACTCCAGTGTGGATCTCTCACAGGGTCACAAGTTCTGCCAACAAACCTGCTCCAGCATGGGCTTTCCTCCATGATACACAGGTCCTGCCAAGAGACTGCTCCACAGTGGGCTCCCAACAGGGTCCGCAGCTTCCACTATGTATCCACCTGCTCTGCCATGGGGTCCTGCACAGGCTGCAGGTGGCTCCACCATGGACCTCCATGGGCTGCAGGGGCACAGCTGCCTCACCCTGTCTGCACCAGGGGCTGCAGGGGGATCTCAGCTCCCGTTCCTTCAGCACCTCCTCCCTGTCCTTCTCCACTAACTTTGGTGTTTGCAGAGCTGTTTCTCTCAAATGTTCTTACTCATATCTTCCAGCTGCTGCTGCTGAGCAGCTTTTACCCTTTCTTATACATACTATGCTCAAACAGCTATCAATGTTACTGATGGGCTCGGCCTTGGCCAGCAGTGGGTCCATCTTAGAGCCAGCTGGCACTGGCTCGGTTGGATGCGGGGGAAGAGTCTGCCATCTTCTCACAGAAGCACCCTGCTAGCAGCCTGCTACCAAAACCTGGCCATGTAAACCCAGTACAACAAACCTTTGTCAATATGTCAGATGGTTCCTTGCTATAGGTGATTAATTAATTAATTCTCAAAACTTCTGTTGTAAGTGTTCTATTTCCTTAACTATTTTAAATTCTTCCTCTTGAAACAAAAGCATGTTTCCACACACCAAAACCCCCACCCTATACATCATCCCTGAAGATATCTCAGGAATGAGAGGGTCATTAGGGAAAACAGTCTTTAGGTAGTTGGTACCTGCTGTGAGAACTTCACAGCAGGTAGATATGACTTAAAGCAAATGGGCACTGCAGGCAAGCTTGATTCATGTTTTATTATCATTTTATCCACCGGTGCTTTGCTGCTTCACCCTGTGCCACTGGGTGAGTGGTAGCCATTCCTCTTGAGAACCATGTCTGTGCATGTTTGGTTAGCCAACACCAGAAAAAATAAACCACCTTTCAAAATATTTATTGCAATACAAAACTGCCCCTCAAGGACTTCTATGCAGAGACCTGTAAATAAAGGCCTCATTATACTTAAGCAGAGTATGATTAAATACATTCAGCTATAAATGACAAACCTCAATGTTTCCATGTACTCCAAACAACATTACACTCATTTGCAGTATTATTATTTAGATAACAGCAGAGGTAACATTTTTCAAAGCTGTGTATGTGCTTAGAAATCTCTAAGAGCTGATCTGAATGTGAGTAGCAAAGAGATATTTCTAAGAGATGTACTGGTAATTTTTTTTAGCCTTTCACTTAATGGTTTTAGCACTGCTGCAGAAACAGGCCTTGCTGTGTTCTTTAGAGCCTTGTCCAGCTGCAGAGCTGAAAGGGTAGCTCATGCCCCCCAGTAATGCTGTCCTTCGTCACTGAGCCACGTTATCTTCACCAAGATGAAGACATGAGATTTCCTTTGCATGAGATTTCACTTGTCATGGTGGAACAGGCAGACTAGGAAAGATCCTCCTCTACTTCCTGGCTATGGTAGCACACCTTTCTTCGAGGCATGAAAAGCCTCCTGCTGTGTCTGGCAGGCATCCTGCAGCACCACTGCATTGCTCTTGGGCATTTTCTGGGGCTGGAAAGGCAACTTTTCTCCAGTCCCAAGTGTGAGTGAGACTTGGAGTCAGACAGTTACAATTCCCTGGTACTGAGCAGGTAGGGGCAGGCCCTGGAAATGGCTTGCCCTCACTGCACCACCATACACCCATTCTTGCAAATTTATCATGAGAATTTTCCAGTCCAACCAGGTACATCTGTTCAGAGGCCCTTTATTGTGGTGGCTTAATCTGCATCACCAGTCTAGCAGGAGGAGCAAGAAGCATGTAATGCCTTCTGCAGTGGAAGCTGATTTGGGAGATTTGTGAGCAGAACAGCTGTACAAAGAGATTGGGAGAGATTAGAAACAAGGCATGACAAAATGAGGCACATTTTGAAGCAACTGAGGAAAAATATTATGAATTTGTGGGCACAACAGAAAGTTGGAAATCTGTAATGTAATTCTCTTTCAGAACTTGACAGAGAGTTGCTTAAACAAGAACTGGCAGTGTGATGAGAATAAAAAAATGGTCTGTGCATTTTTTGTCCATTTCAGATGGAGCAGAGGCACCTGACGCTGGAAGATGTAACGCAACTTGACACCATTTAAAGTCACAGTGTTCAAGCAAACAGGTCCAAAGTCTGCCACCCTCAACAGAACAAACAACAGCTGCTAAAAAGTTGGAAACTGGGGGAAAAAAAAAAAAAAAGGAATAAGTTTAAAATGGTAGTTTTCTTTTGGTAATAGTTAAATCTTGTGAATAAGGAATTTAGAACATCTCACATTATATGAGTGCTGAAATAATAAGCCATGTGGATGGTTTGCAAAGAGACAGGCGAGAAATACAGAAAGTTCTCTAGATTAGTTCTGCAAAAACAGGTTTTAGTTCTTGGTAAATTTGGGTGAGTGTTTAAATTAATATTGAGTCTGTTTCCATTTTTGTCTCATATAGTAACTGCCTTTTCTGGCCTTCACACAACTCATATTTAGTCAGAATATGGTCAAGAATTGAAAACAGACATAGAAGAAACAAAGAAGAAACATATTCACATAAAAATGGGTATGCGTTTGAGTTTCTGCAAACATGCTGTAGATATGGCTGTGAATGCCTCCTTTAAGCTGGCTGGACAAAATCCAGTACCTTCCCACTGAGCCCGGTAGATCTGATGGACAGCCCAGCTGCAACCTATCAGGTGCTGGCTGTTCCCCCTCCCTCGTCTGCCACAGCCTCCCCCGTGACTTTTCTGTGGAGTGGGGAGACCTCTGCAGACAGGATAAATCCAACATTGCTACAGGCGTGCAGAGGGAGATAACTAGATTCTCTGACAGAGCAGTTAGTTACAGAGGTTTGTTGGGGTTTGGGGTTTTGTTTATGTGTTTCTTTTTGGGGTTGGGTTGGGGTTTTCTGATTGGTTGAGTTGGGGTTTTGTTTGTTTGTTTTAATATTGTGGTATTATTTAATTCATTCTTTCTCTTTTAAAAATCGCCTTTCAACTGCTGACATATCAGGGCTGCATGCATGACCTGACATATGAAAATCTTGGTCTCAAGCATTTTCTAATTTAACACTGAATTAGTAGCCCACTGTTTTCTACCCAAATTTTGTGCAAAGAGACCAAGCAGAATTCTCCTACGATCTGGTGTCAGGAGATGGAAAAATGCTGTGCCCTGTAGCCCAGAACTACCTTTGGAAGGAGGGATGAGCATTGTAAAACAACTGCTAACAGAAATGTAAGCTCCATAGACAGACAAAGAAACCTTGCCATACAACCTTGTGCTAAACCACAAGACTTCTACAGCTCTTCTCCCAATTCAATATGGAAGAAGTTCGGGAAGGAGCCTGACTTTACCTTCTGGGAAATCTCTGGTTTCTCTTGTATGGAACTAGTCTACCCAAGAGGTATAGGATGGCTACACAGGCTCTATCTCTGCTCTGGAAATTAAAGTTCTCTTTAAATTACAGGATGATTTTCTTGAGGATGCTAACAAAATCACCTGCCATGGAATCTGGTGCTGGAGACATATTTCACACAAACAGGTCATGCCCTACCCCCACCCTCACCAGAGCGCAGATCAAAAGGGCCCAGCTTACAGTAGTGAAGATGATGGCTGAAACTCTTTTCCAACTGCAGAAAGGTTTGTGTATTATTCTCCTCAAGCCTACAAGAAAATGGGTTCTTCAAAGGCAGGAACAAACCTGAAAAATAGGCTATAATCTACCATGGACCTGAACAGGGCTTCCAATGGTCTGCTGCTGGCATGCACTCTTACTGAGAACCATGAAAACAAGCTGAGCTGGGTGCACTTCTCCAACACTGGAGCTGAGGAACTAGCTATTCCAAACAATTCATCCTGAAATATAAATTCATCCTGTCTGAAAGTACCTGAAGTAAGGAAACTAATGAGTCTCAAACCATAATGAGGTTGTGTTTCCTACTACTTCAATAGCATCCAAATATCACTAGGTGTGCAGAAGTCGTTCCTTCTATCCCATGTTAAGAAAAGGGTTGTATTAACCAGTATTTTAAGGCCACTCTGAATTTCAGTGTTCCGCCCTCATCCTTTAGCATCACAGGTCCGCTTCTAAAGTACGATTAACAATGTAATCTCACATGTCTTGGTTTGGGACATCAGTTATTTTGACCATCTTAGGAAGTTTATTGGTGCTCCCTAGAAGTTCATATTAATAATAACAATTATTTCCCTAGAAGTTAATATTAATAATAACAATTATTTCCCTAGAAGTTAATATTAATAATAACAATTATTTTAGATATCTTTTTGAATAGGAATAAAAGATAAGTACAACATACTCTTAGTTAATAACATTGCCACCCTTGATAAATAACAGCGCCTACTTTAATAATATCATTATTATAACCAAGTGAGTATTCCTAAAAAAAAAAGTTTAAAAAAGTCTGTATGTGTAATTTTCACTTTATTCCTCAAATTTGTTTTGAAAAAAGACAGGAGGGTCACTGCAGTGCATAAGAATAAACAGCTACTCAAAGTTGGCATGTGTTCTTCACCCAGAGGGAAAAAACATCAGCAGGCTTACGGCCACAGAGCAAAGTGAGTATCCGGGCAGGTATTTAAGGTGTGTATGATTCAGACAGTAGAACACAGCGAGTCCTGCAGAGACGAATTAATGGCCTATAGTGTTTATAATAGAGACTCGGGCAATAGTAGAGTGTACCCTACTTATGTTAGATGCCTAATGAACAATCTTCTTAGATGCCATTATTGTGAATTCAGAGAAGCTGCCTTCCAGGGAAAAGGCAATCTCCATGCCTTGGTTCTTGAAAACAGGTAAGAGAAAATAACGACTTAAACAACCATTCAGAGAAGATACTCTCAGCCTATCACATGCTATCTGTTACAATTTCAAACTCTGAGGATATTTAACAATATTTTACTCAGACAATGGGAATATTTTCATGCACTTGGCTGGGTGACTGAGCTGGGCTCAGAACACCTTTATTCTGGTATCTGCAAATGGCCCTGTTTGCATATGAATGACAGAAAATTAAAGCATCTCATTAGTTTTTAGGCAATATTTCCTTCACTTTTGAAGATATCTCAGTGCCAAGACAAAGCCAGCCTAATTAAAATTAATAGCTTGACAGTTGAAATAATTTGTAATAATTATTTTATTATTATAATTATTATGACAGTTTTAATAATTTGATAAATGTGTCATCTTCCTTACCAGCTTCTCACCAATAGTATAAGAGGAACTCAATTACTCTTAATTACCAAATGTGCATATATGATGTGCACTGCTGGCTGACACACAAGTGGTAGAAGAAACCTGTTGCCTAAGGAAGCCAACTAAGTGCTCTGATTATCTGTACCTTGATAGCACTAAGTAAAGCTTTACTTGATGGGCATATGTTTCCTGAGACCCAGATCTCCCAGGTCCTTTCTCTGAACTGGATTCCTAGCATGGAGGGGGGATGGACACGCAAACCTTGGAAGGAAGAAAGACCCAATGCCCTGCAGCAGCATTTGGGGACCACCTCTGAACTGCCCAATTGCTCTGGGGGCTCTGGGCATGGAGTCTGGACTGGGAGAGGCTCTGGGGGAAGAGAGGCTGGCTGACAGCAAAGAAGAAAGCCTCTTTCTCATGCTGGGAGACACAAAAGGTCAGCAGCTCACATGAAACCATTTCACAGCATGGCTGATTAAGTAACAGTCATTTGACTTTGATTAAAATATCTGGAAGAGCTCAGCTGTTTCTGAAGGCAATTCTGACAACCCTGCCCCACTCAGTGGATCTGAAAGGCTTCCTACAGGAAACAGCAAGAAATGGGGGAAGAGCAGCACAATATTTTGCTCTCATGCATGTATGTACACGCACTGATTTTAATGGGAAGCCTTACAGAATGCTCCCCTGAGAGCAGTATATCATGTGAAAAATATATTTATTTCGGCTTAAGGAAAAAAGATGAAAATAAATCAGACAGAGATGTTGTAACAATAACTTTGCTTCTACTGAGCATCAGAATTAGGAGCAACAAATAATAATAACAAATAGAAAAACGATGGATAGTAAATTGACATAGCAAAACCCTACCCCTTCCTTTACTTCAGCTGTAACCATCCTTCAGAATTACAGAATTTCAACAGTTTCAAGTTTCTGAAGATCAAGAATGCAAAATAATAAAAACTTGCGAGAGAAGATTTAGAGAAGGCATAGATAATAAACCAAGTGCTTTATAATTTGCAATGATCTATTTCTTCCTTTACACAGCAATTAGTTTGCTTGGTGAAGTGGAAATTTAACTGTATCCATTAAAACATTAAAGACCATAAATTAAAAAATAGCAATTAATTGTGTTGCCTATTTTTAAGATGTTGGAGCTTAGTTTTTCATATTCTGGCAGTCTGTCAAACTCAGCTCCATTACAGATGTCTTAGAGCTGAATTGATGATGATATTCAGAAGTAAGGGCATTCTCTTCAGTGGTCCTACCCTGATGAAGGAGCTCAAATGTATAGATGGCTTATGCAACTCTATCATTCTTACTGTGTGAATTAGGAATGTTAGAAATGTCAGCTTAATGAGTCATGCAACAGTCTTCAATGTTCTAAGTCACTGGATCCAATTAATTTTCAAGTCTGCCTAAAATGAACAATGAATACTGAGAAGAAGCAGTTCAGTGGTTTTCTCCACAGTCACTTTTTAACTTCTATTTTATATGTTGGACCTAATAATGCTTTCAAATAGCTATCCAAGTCAATTATTAACAATGATTGAAATTTCCAAGGAGCTGACAGTGTTTTTTCTTCAGCCTTTAAGTCTGCAATGAAATTACTCCAATTTGCATGAATAAATGAGAAAAGAAGAATGTAGGTGTTAGTGTAAAAACCACTAATTTTTCTCCCTGCTTTATGTATATGATTAGTAAAACTAGTCAGAGTGGAAACATGATAAACATATACATTTTTAAAATATCTCCATTGTATCTGCTTCACTGACTTGAAAACTGCTTTGGTTTTGTATTATATTTGGCATAATGTAACAACATTAATTTTCCAACGAATCCTGTTTTTATTGAGCAGTGTGGGCCAATCTCATTGGCTGGGTTCCCAGACATGAAGGGGAAGAGCCATTTGTTGTAACAGGCAGGGTTTTCTTTATTTTTACCTAAGTGATTTTTACCATAGCCCTGGCATACGGACCATTAAACTCTAGATTCTGATTAGTGTGTATCTTGCAAACAAACATTTCTGCTTAGGCACCCATTGCTGGTGGCTCTTCTTGCAGAAGACTCTTTGTATAAGGGTCCCCTTCTACACCTTATCTTGCCAGTGGGTATGGATTTGTACCAAGAGGAAAGAATGTGAACTGAGGATGCTGAAGAGTGCAACAATTTGTCCTGCCGTGCTAACAACCAGTGGTCTTTGTAAGCGGAGACAGGCACAGCAGCTTTTTCACTGTTGGCAAGCTGTGGACCACCACCCCAGCTACTCTCCTTACTCTCGCTGAGGAAAGGCAGCAAATAGCCAAATGGTGGCAGCATGATAAATTGCTTTAGTTGTTCACCCAGCGAGAGCAGAGTCCTGGGCACCAGAGGGAAAAAAATGGAAAAAAAAAAAAAAAAAAAGGAAAACCAAAAAACCCAAACCAAAAAACCAAACCAAAAAAAACCCCACAACAACAACATAAAACAAAACAAAAAACCAGACATGAAACAAACAAAAAAGGAGTTTGAGGAAAAGAGAAAAAAGCAGCATATTGAAACTCCATTGGAAGTCCTAAATGCCCATGGCATAGAAATATTTTTGGACCATGGAAGACAGAAGTACTTAAAATCTTAAGTTTGAATGAAAGATTCAGCTTGACTGAAATTACTTTTAGCAAAAGCCATCAGATCTCACTGATCTGGAGTAATGTTCCTGGTGCCAATACTATATCATCAGAGAAGTGTTTGAGAGCAGCTGTAAGGCCAGCTTTAAAATCTTGTAAATACCGAGCATTTCAAGGCAAGGTTTGGGTTCAGATATATGTCCAATAAGAAAACCTTTCCTTTTGTTGTGCTGCTGGCAGTTCGAGACCTGCAGGTAGTATAACCTGAAAACAGAAACTGTTAGAAACATAAATATAGATGTGGGGGGATAAAATAACCCAAAAATCTATATGCTGCCAGAAAGTATCAAGAAAATCCTCTGCTTCAAATACGAAACTTTGTCTGGGGGATTGTGTTTTAAGAGCCAAAAACTTCAGCTTCTCTGTAAGTTAAAGGAGGATTAAAATAAAGAATGAATAGAAGAGAACGGCACACATATACAAATGAAAGGGGGAAAAAAAAGGCACAGCCTATTTATGCCACCTACTGGATTTTTCTTGAAGTATCTTTTCCAAGTGTTTTAGTTGCGATGATGTCTGTCACTCCAGCAAATGCACTTGCATGGGAGACTACTGACACAAGTAAACCAGCAGCAATCCAGCTGATGACACATGAGTAAATGCATGTGCAGGCTGACAAGGCTGGAGGAGTAGAGAGGAGGGTAGCTCTACACTTGTTTACCCTGCTAAGCTGATGGCTCTAGGGCAGCCCAGACACCAGAGCTGCAGGCAAGCACTAGAGTTCAACACTGAGGAGCTTCCCAGCTCCTATCAGTGTCAGGGAATGTGCTGGCTAGGTTTCCCTCCTTTGCTTGACTCCCTCTGGCTGTCTTTGATATTTTGTTCAGAACGTCCAGAGTGTGTTTATGGACATGTTGATGTTTTCAGGCAATGCAGACTGCCAGTGTGCATGCTTCATCTTCTGTCCTTCACCACTCTTGCAGCTGAGGCTCTTTGGGGAATCCACAAGCAGCCCTGGGGATACAGTCTGTCAAATGATCTGTGAGAGTCAAAAATATCTCAAAAACTCGCTGATTTGACCCACTGACAGAAAAAAAAATTCACCACGAAACAAAAATTAAACAGAATGAGGTCTAGCAGATCTCTAAAATGAAATGCGCTCAACTGCACTGACTTCTGGGAAACTGAAGGTCTTCACTTTCCAGGCAACAGTGTTAGAATTAAACTGTTTTTAATTTGTCATCTCTCCACTGGCTTGCTGAGTCACCAAATGTGGTGATAGGATCAGGTCTTGCTCACATCTGACCATCAAAATTATAATCTTGTTAGCAAATAAAATATTTTTGCCAGGTTCAAGGGATCAGCCAAAGGCATGCAAAGGACAGATCATCACTAACAGATGACATTAGGGACTTTAAAGAAAAAGGTCCTTTAAAGGACAATTATCAGACATCTATTAAGACAAAAGAAAAAAAGAAAAGCAAAAATGTCTTTTGACTGTTATTTTTGTCATCAGCAATATTAATTACAGTTATTAATTACAGCAAAGGTGATGGCACACTGCAGTAATCTTAAGTCACTGACATCATCACTAGGCAGACTTGAACCAGAGATGCCCAGATATTAATTAAATTAATGACAAAATTTCCTGAAGACTTGCAGTGAAGTTATTATGATTTGTCTTAGTACTAATGGCAGTTTATGACCATCTCCTATTGCTTCATTACTCCACTGAGGACAAATCCAGCAGTGTGTTGTCAACCTCACCATGCACCCATTAAAAAAATTGGAGAAAAACATTGCACTCTAAACCATACTCAAAGTGTGACCTGAGCTAGCAAAAACTAAAGCAATTCATTTGTAAATATTTGATCATGTACTTGTATTCATCAGGCATCTAGATATTTTGGTGATATTCATCCAGAACACAAAATACCAGATAGGTACTAACAACATTAATATTTTGTTCTGTATGGTAGGTTCTGTAATATTATGGATAATACATAACTGTGCAGTTAGTCTGAAAGGCAGTAGTAGAAAATACTAATTATGTGAAAGAGTGATGAATGAATGCTCTTCTTGGAACTGTTGCACTTTTTTCATCCTGTACTTCATCTCTGAAGCTGGCTGGCCCACTTAGTTTCTAGCGAAAAGTCAGATATATAAGCACATGGTGACTGCTCTTATTTTTTTTTTTTTGTCTGTTTTTGCCTGCTTTATGCACTGTCGTTCTCTTATCTTTTCTCCTTTTCCACCCCTGCTGTCATTTCTGATTTTCTTCTACCTCTGTTGGGTTTATTTTATTTTGCCTTTCTTGGTCTTTTGATTTAGCCTCCTTTCATCTACTTTTTAATCTGCATTTTCAATTGGCTTAAGATAATTTTTAGGGGAAAACATTTCTCTGTGTGTGCTCCACCATGCAATGTACTTCACAAACTGGATATTCAAGGCTTGCTCCTAGACAAAATTTAGGAAAGTCATCAATGCCTATATGACTTGAGAGGATCTCAACTGGTTTCATTCAGGGAGGAATTTTATATTTTGATATCCAAAGCTAAGTATGCTTACATTTTTCACCTCCTTAAATATTAGTGATATGTAGCACTACATGTAAAGGCAAATCCTAATTTTGTTTCTCTAAAGATCATGTTCATCTTCTTCTGTCTTGTGGGAAAATGTGTAGATACTGACATCAGAAATGTCAATCCCAGAAAAGTGATGCAAGGGAAAAAAATTTCAGCTTCTGTGAGCTGAATGATGGTCACACCAAGCCCACACAGCATGAGCTCAGCCTTCACTTGTGGACCATCTGACTGGCTGCGACTGGGGCTGAACAGGAGTGTTCGAATGAGGTTTCTCTCTGGAGGATGAAAAGTACCATAAATGTCTCCAGTGTTGTGCCATGAACAAACAAGTTCTTTAAATGTAATTTATTAAAAGCTAATGCAAAGCATCACGCAGCAAGGATCTGGGGCATTCTTCAGGTTAAGATAGGCACTCACTGTTTCCAGCATGGAAGCTCAGTCTGAGCAGAATTAGCTTGGAGTTAGCTGATCACAAAGAGAGAGATGCCTTTCTTGGCTTCTTCTAGCAGAAATAAATTTCTACCTACTGTAACTTACTGCCATCTGATATGCTGAGTCATGAAGCTGGGGTTATAGAAATCTTTATGCAATCTTTATAAATCAGCCTCACATAATCTCAGGTGCTTTCTGCTTCATCTCTGTTGAGTCACTCATTTGACAGTTGTCATTCATCTTAGATTGAGATGTAATTTAATAGTTTCATTTCAGCATGAAGATAGCGTCATCTAAAGTTGAGCCCAGAAAGATTTAAAGGTGTAACAGAGGAAATATTAATACTGTAAATAATATCTGTAGAGCTGCATGTGCTTATAAATCACATAGTGCCAAGTTGGAAGGGAGGCCTATGTAAAGAAGAAAAAACATCTTTGCTTGTCTTCCCCTGCAGAGTTCAGCCCCCCTGTCACCCACACCAGCTCGAGGTGATGGCTACCGAGTTATCACCGTGCTCTCACTCGCCCTTACACCTGCCGGTATCACCTGCCCACACAGATGTCTTTAGTGTGTCTTTACACACACTGCACGATGAGTGCGAGGTAACGCGGTAAGGGAGGCTGGAGTCCAGCAAGACGCCAGCAGCCCCACGACAGAGCAGCTGAGCTGCGGCAACTGGGGTGTTTTATTCGGGCGTCTCACCTCTCCTGGACCAGGCCATGTTGATCGCCTGCCCAAACCTGACCTGCCCATTCCAGGGGACCATTGGGCTTAAACATGGCCTCTCCGGATCGATTCCGCCTTGCTGTCGCAGACCTCGTCCAGCATCACCAGCACGGACACGGCCTGCGCTGGCC